AAAGTTTTCGGAAATTCTCATTTAAAATTCGCGCGCTGTATATTTTTCGATATTTTAAGTTTATGTAGTTTGGCAGCACTGTCCTTAATTACTATGCCAAAAATGAGCTCGATCTGTCAGACAGTTCGTTTACGGCAGCTGTTGAAACCAGTTCACCTCAGTAGTGCGTTGCGAAATGTCTTCGACGGTCGTACGACCGTCCTGGAAGGCTTTGTACCACTCATAAACTTGAGTTTTCGATAAAACTGATTCCCCATAAGCCTTTTGTAGCATTCGCAACGATTCTGCACACGAAATTTCGTTCGAAACACAAAATTTGATGCAAACTCTTTGTTCAATATTTTTTTCCATTGTTTTTTTCGCAACGCCCTACTGAGGTGAACTGGTTTCAACAGCTGCCGTAAACGAACTGTCTGACAGATCGCGCTCATTTTTGGCATAGTAATTAAGGACAGTGCTGCCAAACTACATAAACTTAAAATATCGGAAAATATACAGCGCGCGAATTTTAAATGAGAATTTCCGAAAGCTTTTCGGTCTTAATGTAAGACGATGAAATGAGAATTTGCTGTGAAATTTCTCTTCAATTTGAGCACCCACCTCTGATGACAGGGTACTACGATTTGATGGACCCACTCTTTTTTATTATCCTTTCAAGAAGAAGAGGAATTCGATTTAATTTGAGCACAGTTACAACCACACTTGTTCAAAGTACACAACGATCTGTTGCACCCATTCGTTATAATTATTTCTCTTCAATTAAAGAGATGAGAAGAGTAGTTTAAATAAACCCAACTGTGTCCATAATCATAATCATGCAATTAACAAGAGAAAAGGAGTCTTAACATACCTATTTGTATACGCAACGATCTAATGGTGTCATTTCTTATAATAACTTCTAAAGAAGTTTCAATAGACACATCTGTTTTCACAATGATCTTCACATAACAACTCCATTTACAAGAACAGAACAGTTTTACTAGACTCATCCGTGCTCACAATGATCTATTGATCCCACTCTTATAATGATCAAAACTGCTTGTACGCTGCCGCCATCTTGGCGTGAGATACTTTAGATCATATTGATCAGTACACACTAGTCAGCGTATATGTGTGTTTTTTGTTGCATGCAAATATGATCCGTTACAGCTGCCAAATTTTAAAGACCTTCATTTAAAAAACTATGACAAAACTATTGAAAGTTGTGCTTTACAAGAAATTAACTTACAGTGCAAGACGTATTTTATTTATACATCGTACTTAAGTTTTTAAACACAAAAATAAATCTGTTATAGTCGCAATATTAATGGGGTTTCTTATCAATGCCCCCTAAAATAAATTTCATCGCAAATCAATATATGAGGGGGGTTGTCTTTATTAAAAACTCTATGTTAATACTACGGAGTATATTTTGTTTGAAAATTTCATTATAAAAAAAATTTTTACAGGTAGTTGTAAAAATAAGCGTAGACTTGTATAAGTATCGACAATCTTACATAAATTTAAGCTACCATATTCCAAATTATACCAACTCAAAATGTATGTCCCCGACTCCTTAACTTAAACATGAGCATCATCAGTGTGATCAGTGTTTAATCTCTCAGAATTATTCCGTTATTAATATGCAATGTAACATTTATCATATGTTTTGATACATGGTCTATTTCAACTATTCCTCTCAAAAACTTTCTTCACAATCTCAAAATCCTTTTATAAGTGCGCTATCTTAATAATCTTTCTATATGAACAAATAATTAAAATAATTGTTATAGTATTCGATTTGGATATATCTTATTCTCTAAACACTTTTCAAAGGAATTTGTATTGTTCTATTAATTTCATATATAATTAGTTATAAATCTAAAACTGTAATAAAATTTTAATATTCTATGTTATGGGATCTCATACAATACTTCGTGAAAGACTAATATCCTAATAAGAAAACCTAAAATCTTAAATATGATTGCTCTTCTCAAAATAACTTTGTTAAATCAATCACCAAATATTCCAATGCATTTTGTGTTTCTTTACTTAGACGTCTGCATATTACCAAAAAAAAAATATAATCCAATCTTTTAATACACAAAAATATTTTACAGCCTTCCAATCCGTCAATGTGTTCACGATATGAGGTATTTAAAGGAATTAAAGGAAAGAACTTCTCTGTCTTTACAAAAAAAAGTTCTTTTAAGAATTTATATAGTTTCTTGTCAATCTTCAACTACCAAACATGGATAATTTTATTATCCATAGTTTCTTGCTAAAAGCCGAAAGGTCTTTTATGAAATTGTTTCTAATATATGTTTTTAACACACCCCCCGCCCAGACAGTACTAGCTTGGGTGATCACATGAAATAAGAATCTTGTAGTTACATTTTGTTCCAGAACAATGATTCTCTTGACTAAGTACCACAAAGAATCCAACTTGAAGTGTCCTTCTCTTTTGGAATGAGTCATTCTATCATCACTCTCACATACCAAGTTGGTTGAGGTCGTAAGGAAGGCCTAGCTCCTACATTCTAAAATCGTTTTTAGTTGTCCGTGAAATGTGATTAGTAATAATTTATAATCATATGAAAGTCTCTAGATGTCTTTGTAAGTACCTCTAAACTTCTTATTTATTTAGTAAAATTAAAAACATGCAATTTTTTTAAGAATTCTTAATGTTAAAGTAATCCCAGAACACATATTAAAGAATTTTAAGATAGATACGAGAATGTTAGACTTCTTCTTTATTAAACGCACTTTAACTCAATACTATCTGTGATCACTTGGATGATCCATTGTTACAATGACCCATTAAAAGTTTTTTATAACTTATTTAGGTGGTTTTATAGTAGTATAGTATATCTTCCTGACGGAATATAAATTAAATTTGTTTTAAGAGAGTACAATTCTAAATTAGTATCAGCGCTTTGTGTGTGATATACTTTTTAATACACTCAATATTCAAATTCTTGTGTATATATTCGCTCGTGATATACTTTAAATCAGTTCACCGGTTCACAACCGGTAGTCGAAATATGGTTTAATATATGGGCCATAGCTATTTAACAGCTATGGAAACATTGTTTTTAGTTTGTCCACTAAGACCTTATTTATAAATAAAAAATAAGCAAAACAATTTCAATGAAATTATATATCTATTTTATAGCGTATATAATTCACCTATACACCTATTCATTATACATTATTAGATAGATACATAAAGCATATTAAAATAATCGTACAGTTTAATATTCTTAAACTTAGTGGTCCCTATTAAAAACAAAAATATTATAGTGGTCCTTGGTCAAAAAAAAGTTGGCAATCATCTTCCTCTTATCACTCTATTCCTTTCCTATTGTCACAAAAATTCTAGAAAATACACGATGGCAACGCTGTGACGAGTTGTGTGTTGTTGCTTGGCATGGACGAAGGTTGTGAAAGATAGACGGAAATTAAATACATTAAAACTGTTACATTTTAAATGAAATTAACAATGAAAACGATTGATCCTATAAATTTCTTTCATATACATTATATATTTACAATATAATGATCAAACTTTGGAGTAATTGTGTACATATTTATTAAGTAATATGTCATGGATGCGGTCAATCGATGTCAATGCTAATCATGTTATATGTATTCATCAATAACATCAAAATCCCTGGGCTTTAATAAAGAATATGTAATAACTATATTTATTGCCAACGCCTATCTAAATTTTCATTTGATATTCTTAACAAAAAATACAAGAAAAATAAATTTCTAGATTATTTAAAGATAGTACATCTTATTTTCTAAGCTTTCCATTCGCGATAAAATGAATTCTCAGTTTTCAGTGGGTTTTATTTATAAAATCTATTATTAACTATATATGTTTTATACTATATCTGTTCTCTTGCTTTTTTTTATATAAATGTATGTATTATGTTTTGTATAAATTGATTTTTGTTTTTAATTCTAAAAGACTTTAAACTACGACATTTTTTTTATTATTTAAAATATTTATATCTAA